ACCATTATGAAAAGAGAAAGGACAATGAATAGAGCTGGAGACTCTAGTCAGAGATCACAATGGCATAGGCATGAAATCTATCCAGACCCCCATGTGCCTGAGATTTTGGGGAGCATTTATACTCTTAAGACTAGGCTGGGGCGAAGACTTGCTATTGTATAGCAAAGGATTCCGATTGCTATTGCTTTGAAGTAGACAGTTTCCAAAAGGGGGGAGACTGGATGTTGATTTTATCTCACCTTCAGCCGAACACATCCTGGCTGGCCCTCATCAATCTTCTGGGTGTGAATATCCTGTTTTGCAGCTCCTAAGCCTGGCCTTTTTAATCTGCAAATGGTTGTAAATGCAGTTTTAACTCTGTTTGGAGCGCCTACGTAATGTGCTTGCTTTGAGCTCATGGCGATATAGGCATCTTTCAGCATAGGGACCCAAAAGGGGTCTTGATATCAAAACCAATCATCATAACACCTCTGAGGATAAGAAACCGCCTTAGGTATGGGAGCTCCATCCTATGGAATCCTGGGATTTGTAGTTTTACAAGGTCTTTAGCTTTCTCTGACAGAGTGCTGGAGCCTGGCAAAACTACAAATCCCAGGGTTCTGTAGGTATCCGCAATGGCAGTTAAAGCATCCTAAATGATCTCAAGGTGATTGGTAGTAGTCACACTGGCAAAGACTGGATGCATCCTGTACTTTAAAATGACAAATGACCTATAAAGATTTCAAAGATAATAGCCATGTTCATCTGTTTTGGTATAAAAGGAAAGCGGGGAGGAGAGGAAAAGAAAGAATGCAGCAGCATATTTAAGACTGACATTTATTTTAACACAGACTTTTGTAGATTTCAGTCCACTTCCTGAGATGAAGGGATAAAGTATAATCACTCATTGCAATCATTTTCCAAAACAGCCTGAAAGAAAGAAGTGTGGAGAGCTCTTACCTCTCTAATGAAAGGAAGTTGTCCAATGTGAGTTTGTTGTGTGTCTTTAACTCATTTTTGACTTATGGCGACCCTTAAGGCGAACCTGTTATGGGGTTTTCTTGGGGTACCACCACTAAAAAAGCCCTGCCACTCGGGGCACTATAAATCACATGAGCCACACTCTGCATCATCTGCTATTTCTGTGTCATCATCAAAGGAGTCCACTCATAATTTTTAGACTGAAGAT